AATTACCAACCAGTCACTTAAGCCTCAGTGTCTAGAGTTTTTACTGGGACTCCACTGCAAAAGTATGATTCATCGCCCACATGCTGATCTCAGTCTCCAGTCCCTGTGGAGTTTGACTTATACTGTGTGACCCAAAGCACCCATCGTAAATTGCATTGTTGGTCCTTCTAGCATGGCCAGCCTCTACCCTGTGTCATATTGTTGGAAACAAAGACACTCCTATCTGCCATTCCAAGGTCTTGGAGATCACCTTGCTGAGGACGAAGACCAGAGCCCTTCTTGGGCAAGGTTAAATTCTTTACTACAGAAACTCACGACTGTACGCGCCACCCAGGGATCAGGAAGCTCCTACTGCCGCCAACACAACTGCTTTCTGACACTGATGGCATTAGACAAATGGCACTGGAACACTGCTGCAGAAAAATCCCAAGACTTCATTACTGTGTTGACACCTTACTTTGCCTCCAAATCTTCCTTGAGGAATCTCACTGGTGGAACCTAATTTGCATCCAGAGTCCTAAGCATTAGGGCGCCTGGCAAGTGCAGGTTTTAGCTTTGCAGCCTCTGCAGCAGCAAATGGCGATAGAAGGCAGTAGAAATGTGTGTGAGCGCCAGTAGACCGTATCTGCCACTCCTTCCGACAAGTGGGCAGAAAGCAACCCAGCCGCTGGCAGCTCACATCATTGTCAGCTCAGGGAGTCTCACCAGTACACCGTGAAACATTTCAGTCATTCTTGGAGGCTCGCACATTAAATCTTTCTGTACCATTAATCTCTCAAATCTTGGGGAAGACAAATAACCATGGCATCCTGAAAACATGCTCAGGAGATATAAACACATGAAATGAATGGTTGGTGCACTGCATGGAGAGCGGTTAAGTGTTTGGTCTTCTGAATTGGCCTAAACCTTGACTTAAAGCCCACATGTATCATTTAGTAGCTATGTGACTTGGATCAGTTACTTACCTTCTCTGAGCTTCAATTTCCTTATCTCTGTAGTCAGGAGAGGGATAATATCAAATGCCAAGGGTTATCGTGAAGATTTCTTGAAATGTTGTTTGCAAATTGTTAGTGAATTCCTGAAAAGTGCTTAAAACTTAATAAATGGAAGCTGCCATCATCACCATCATCATTATCAGGACAAAGAAAAGGACAAGCAGGAAACATTTGCCTAGGACTTTGAAACCTCATTCATCCACTTCTGACCTCAGAACAATCCATAATCATTAATTATTGTATCATTAAATCCAAAAGAACCTATCTCTACTATTGTGGAAGTGACTAGATAAGTTCAGCAGAGTAACTAGGTCAGTGTTACCTTGTCTATGAGGCCTGGCAGAACAATTTGTTCTGCTTCCTGCATTCTCACTGCACGGAGTCTAAGTGCCACCATATTATCTCATTACATTTTCCAAGAGTCAGCAGCTGTGATTGATATCAGGATGGATTTGGAGTCAGCCAGCTCTATCGGCCACCACTAGCTGTACGACCTTGAGCAAATCATTTCACTTCTCTGGGATTTTGTATCCTCATCTGGACACTGGGGATTATATCACCCACCTCTCAGGGTTACATGAAATGGTTTTCCCAACACATAGTAAATAAATGCTCATAAAAATCATAGTTACTAGAATTTGTGAACACGTCTGGCTCTCCCACTGGATTATGAATCTGTAAGGACACTGTGACTGGCACATAATAAGTGCTCAAAAGCCCTTGCTAAAATGGAAATAGGGGCTCTGGGCCCTGGAATGAGATGAGACATCAAAAGGGAATGGATGAGTAAGAACCAGGATCAGCGTACTCGGAAGACTTCTGAACATATTCTGTTCCTCATTCCTCTCTCTTTCCCCTCCTCCCAAGAGGTAATAATTCCTTGGGGTGTTGTTAGGATGCCTACACTGAGCAACGACACCCCAGCAGCTTTGTTCCAGGAGGATCAAAGCCCTTCTCAGACACGACCTCATCTACCTCCCATCAGCCTTGGGAGGCGCAGAACTTGTTGGTCCAGGATGACTGCGCCCATTCTATACATGAAAAGGACAAGGACTCATGAACTGACTCACTGGTAGATCCAGCGTCTGCTGAAGACTGCCTGGGCAGTGTTGCTTCCTAGTGACTATCGTGCTTGTTTGAATTTCCCAGACTGAGTTTCCGCCATGGTCTAGCTACTACCAACCTCCTCTCCCTTTTCCAAAGTGCCCTGTATTACGGTTCCCATTCTGTGCCTTTATACTCGGGTTGGAGAGTTCCTGGAAGTAAAAGAGGACACTCCGGGGCCTATGTGGCAGATCAATACAGATCCCATGCACAGATCCTCAGCTGGCCTGCCCTTGATGGGCAGCAGGAACAATATTTATTAATTGGGCTGAACCCAGTCATGGTCCACACTGCTTTATCCATGATAATCCTTTGTCACAGAATCCCTTTACCTGACCATGCCAGCATCTGGCACAAATCTCTGTCACAGTATTGACATTATTACGCTATAAGTATCCTCATGTACTGAGGCTGTGCATAAAGAGCCAGTAAAAACAACATTTGGAAGTAGATTTGAGGGCCTGGAATCATTTAAACTTTTTGAAGTTTTTTCCTGTTTAAGAACTGAGATACCGTATGTAAAAAAGCACAGTGTGTAATACATAGCAAGGCCTCCTTAAGCATTCGTTAAACCAGAACCCCCAGATTTCCCAGAGGTTAGCCCAATCCCTGGCTCACAGTAAGTGCTCAGTAAACATTGGTTTGGACTGTATAGATATTTTTAAATATATGGCAGGACTATACTCGTGAATATTTCCTCCCAAGTTCAATTCTAAAGCCCAGCCCCAGCAAGTCCTCACGGGTCAATCTTCTGCAGGATCCTGATGTTGATACCAAGCTATCAACTCATAAACATTCATCGAGGGCCTCCTGTGTCCCAGCGCTGTATCCCCACCTACAGCACCTCAGATACACAGTCTCTGTGACAGCAGCTTGGAATAATGTCCTGCCATGCTCTGCACTGGTAGGACATCTCAGCACGTGTGCATGGTGCCAGAGAAGTTGGTAATTGCCTTGGGACATGGTTGCATTTAAGCATCGTTTAACAGTAAGTCATCTGAGTTAGGATGAGGGAGCCATGAGTTCCAGAATAAATACATTCCATTCTCACCTTGGAAAACTCCAGACACTTTTGCTGATTTAAGTGTCTTTCAAGGCCAGCCAATTGTCAACCCAGTGTGGAATCAGGGACATTTCTTCTGCACGTGTATGGTGAAGTTAGGGAACATGGTCACTATGTGACAGATAAGTCTTGTTCCAAGTCTTCTTAGTGTGTGTGTGTGAAGAATATCTTTCTCTCAATGGATTCTGGCCACAGATTCTTGCTGGGGAATCCACACCTGTGAGATGTGTGAATCTTGAGACCTCTTTGCCGACAATTAATCATCGAGTGCTCACCTTGTGTATGTGTTTCCATCAGGGTCTCAACAAGAAGCAGACGACATGTTTGAAACAGGGTTTATTTGAAGAGAGTTTATTTGTACTGAGAGTATTGCCAAAGTGTGAGGGTGGGAACCACGGGGATGGGGCAGTAACCTCGTCTCAGCAGCAGCTGTGGTGTTAGCAGTTGCAGGTCTGAGGCACAAAGGGAGGGAGCTGTCACTGCAAGCTGGAGGGGAGGGCCAGGCAGCAGTGGCCTTCAGCCGAGGGCCCCAGTCAACTGGAGGTGACCTTGCCAACAAGGATCCCGGGAAATCCTTACCTTCAGCAACAACTCTCTTCCCTTCCACTTCTCTGTGGGGTTCTCTACTGGCCAAATCCACCAGAAGCCAGGGGCACAGGAACCTGGAAGTGGTTTGTACAGCTCAGCCTCCTGGGGTTGAGGGCAGGCTGGAGGAGCATCTGGAGCAGGCTGGAGGGGGTATCTGGAGGGGCACATGTGGGTCATCAGGCACAATACTGCACTGTCCAATGGACAGAGTTCACACAATTTTGGGGTCCACTCAAAGAAAATCATGCAAAAATATCTTACCTTGGCAAATAAAAAAACCCCAAAGCTATTAACAGAAGGCTTTGGAAGAGACCTGTGCTTAAACTTCATTACTGTAGTTTCATTGTAAATCTCCCTCTGTCTATGGCTTTGGTGATTCTGACCTAGAACAGCATCCCAGCCCTCAATAAGCTTACAGTCTCATGGGTAATGGAGGCTTGGACAACTGATTAGAATTACAAAGCAAACTGTGACATAAGAGAATTACAGATGGAATGCTACAGAAGGTTAGGTAGGCATTGACATAGGCTTTGACAGACAGGTAGGATTTAGACTCATGGCTATGAATGGACAGAATAATATTAATACTCTACGATTTATTGGGCATCTACTACATACAAAGCACTGTCTCTACGTACAGGGCACTCATTTAATCACGACAGAAACAGGAAAATGAGACTCACAGAGGTTAAGTCATTTAGGTCACAAAGCTACAGAGTGGAAGAGCTAGGATCTGATCGCGAGCTGTTTGCTTCCAGAGCCAGGCCACAGCATACTGAACCAAGCTGCTGTGGGATGAGCTTCAGGGTGTGGACCAGAAGGTGGGAAAACGCAAGCGCCTGTAGGCAGAGGAGACACTCGGCCAAAGGAGAACGTAGGACTTCTTTTACATCCAACTCTTTGTCAACACACTTATTATTATAATTTAATAAATAAAGCTACTGCTAACACTGGCAACAATTATTTCAGTTCCTACAGCATTGCCGGGTACAGCATCTGACCAGTAGGACGGACTCCGAGGCTGTAGACCACATTTCCCAGAAGCCCACGGGGGCAGAGGGACCGGGATCTCGCTTTGCCAGTAAAAGACTCCATTTCCCAGCATGCAGTGGTAGCGCCGGCCCGCGGCTCCAGGCGTTTCTGGGGAGGGGGCGGGGCCATCTCGGGCTCCGCCCCGCCCCGCGCGTTCCCGCTCGCCCCGCCTCTCACGCTCTCCTGAGCCAATGGGAAGGCCGCATACTGCGGGGTGTGAAGGGGCCGGAGCAGCTGAAGAGTTGCGAGTCGGCGAAACCGGCGGGAAGTTCGTATTGAGCGGAAGGCGACGGGTCTGCAGCTCGGGGTAGGGCGGCCGTGCGCCGAGCGGTCCGAGAGCGCCAGCGCCGAGAGGGCGCCGCGGAGGGGGAGGCCGGGGACTGGGCCGGCGCGGGGCGGCCGGGCGGCCGTGACCTTGGGCGGCGCAGTGGGCTGCGGACGGCGCGCCGCTGGCGTCCTCTCCCGCCGGGGCTCCCTCAGGCCCCGCTGCGGCCCTGGGCTGCCTGCACCGGCCAGGCCGGTCCCCCAGGCTCAGTTCCCGGTTCTGGACGGCATGTAGGCTGGTCATACTTGCACCGCATCCTGGTTGCTCGGGCTGGGTCTGGGAGATGACCTCTGTAGGCCAGCCTAGACCGCCGGGCTCCCTACGCCGTCTTGGAGCTCACCCTTTTCAGAGGAAACTGAATGGAAGCAAATATGACATTTTGCAGATGCTGAAAAGCTCCCTTAAAATGAGGACAGGCGACTGTGGGCCACAGTAGTGGGGTTGAGGGAGGGCATCTCAGGAGAGGTGACGTTGGTCTTGAGATCCGAGTTGGGGGAAGGAGCCCGCTCCCCGGAGGATAGCGTTCCAGGCCTTTCTAACCTGGCAGAGTCCGGCTGAGGCCGGGTGAGAGTTTGCACTTAACCGCAGGGTTCAAGGCGGTGGAGCTCCGTGGGGAGTTATACGAGGGATTTTCGCATCCTTCTGGCGGTTGTCCTTTGTTGTCTCTCCGTAGCTGCAGGCTGGCTCCCTTTGCTGATGCAGCTGTATTCAAGGGCAGCAAATAGTTTTTCCTTCTGTCGAAATAATTTTTGGCTCCGGTCTTAAAACTCATAGGTGATTTCTTTAAATTCGACGAACAGCACCAGCGTCGCTGGGTTGAGAGAGAGAAAGGGGAAGCAGCCACTGGGTTCCTACTGAGGCCACCCATTTTTCTAACTTGTTTTCTATCAAGTCACCCATTTTTTCCCCCCGTTGCTTTGTATTGACTCTTCCTTTCCCTCCCCCGTCTCGCCTTCTTGGAACAACTTGGAAATACCAGTTTTGCTCTTGGGAGGGTGGCGGTTTCAAGGAACTGTCAAAGAATCTCATTAATTATTATTTTTTCTTTTTTTTTTTTTAAACTGCAGTTGCCCATCTGTGGAGGCTGAAATTTGCAAGAGTTTTTAAAAAATATAGGGCAGCATTTGTTTTTAAGAGTTCAGAATAAAGGCCCCTTATTTTCCATGACATGCTGAGTGTGATACTTCTGGGGAGAATTTAATCTACAATTTTAAAGTAGTTTCCGGGGGGGCGGCAGGGGTTCTTTATATAATCATCTTATTCAAATTATGTTTGTGCTGTTCAAAATGGCCTGTAGCAATTGGAATTAAATTTCTGGGTGGGTAAGGTGATGTTGTTGATCAGCTACCTGTGGAAGGGAATGCAACTTAAGTTGTCACTTAACGCTAGCTTCTGCCGAAGCTGCCACAGGTGCTATTCTCTGTGCATCTCATCATTGCTGATCAGATTCTGAGTTAATATGGTAACACAACTTGAATCCAATGACAGTAAACTTGTGTTAAGCATTACTGTCCGTTTAGTACTAGTATCTAGCGCAAATATCAGGTTTAGAGTATAATGGCTTCTTAATGTTCAGTGCTGCAAAAAACGCGAGAGGATATTTGTTAAACAAATGAGAAAATGGAGGAATGTGTCAAGCACAGAACCTGGCATATAGTAAGTTAGTTAGTGCCCAGGAAATGGTTATATGGAAAGCTTATGCTAAGTTTTATTCCAGGATGCAAGTGTATATTTTAAAAATAACAGTAGTGCATTCAAAATGTTGACAGATCCTAAAATTAAATTTCTTAAATAAGCCAGCTTTTTTTTAAATTTGAGAACTAATGTGAAATAATAATAAATACGTAAGTGAATGTCCCAGATGTCTAGGAAAGAAAAACAAGATTTTTATTTTGACAGCTATATGTTTTTTTTCCCTTAAAACCATCCCTAAGAAGATATAATGTGCTATGAATAGAATTTTGATTTAAAAAATGAAACTTTGAAAGTATTTTTGATTTGATAAATAAAACTTACTGGAAATGAGGCAAAGCTTAAAAATTTACCTTATATCAAATGAAGAAGAAGGATGACTCCTGAATTTATGCAAGTGTGCAAATGTTGATATCTCCATGTATCAGGCACTGAACCTAATGGAAAGTAAATGCTGCCTCTGTGTGTGAGTGAGGCTTTCATGGAAATTGGTCTTGATGGGTTTTAAGAATGATGGGTAACTGAATAGGCCTGGAGAATATTTTTCAGACTGGTAGGACATTTTACATGTTTGCCAAGGTTATTTTTCAGAGTAAGCAGAGGTGGACTCATTTATTCACCAGGTGTCATGTGGCTACTGTATGTCAGAAATTGTGCTGGGTGCAGAGTCTGTTCTTGCTATTGTGTTTTGTCGAAGCAAGTGTTCTTTTAAATTAATAGAGGTCATTCTTTTTGACTTCGGTTGTCTAGCCACCACCATAGAGGGAGTCAAATGTGTATGGCATATTTGGAAAACTATACTCTTGGTGATAAAATGTAGAAAATATGGAATTTTTAATAAGGGTGTAGTATTAATTTAGAAAGATGATAGAATCCTGACAGAGCATTTAGCTAGGTGCTGTAAGCAAGATGTGTTTATACTCTAGGGCATGTTTGGCCCTTTTGACCCGAAGTCCTGTGAATATGTTCGTACTTGCCATTATAAAGATGTAAAGAGGGCTGTGCCCTTTAATATCTTGTCCCCTTAGCTTCTGAATGATATTTAAGTACCTATGTAACATTAAGTTTAAGTTAAGTAACATTAACATTAAGTTAAGTAACATTATGAGGTGGTTGTTTGGAAATAATTTCATGCACTTGCCCAATTATTCCTGCTCCATCTCTCCCAATGTCATCTTAAATCTTTGCACTCAAACTCAAGCACATTCTGCTCTTCTTTTCTGGATGACATATGGGCACTTGATGAAAGAAAAGCTCTCTAGAGAGTCTGGAGAGGTATTAAGTCTGCCCTTCCCCCCATAATTAGAATTTGATTTTTAATATTCACCAGTATATACTAATGACAAGAAACTACTTCTAGTAACATTGGTGAGTAAATTTATTAAGAATTTTAGGGACTTCCCTGGTGGTCCAGTGGTTAAGACTCCATGCTTCCAATGCAGGGGGCACAGGTTCGATCCCTGGTCAGGGAAGTTCTGCATGCTGTGCGGTGAGGCCAAAAAAAAAAAAAAAAGGGAATTTTATTAGCCACAACATTTTTGTCAGCTTGGTTTGAATTGTATTATTTATTTAGTCGTAGTGTAGGTACATGGATTTTGATGATTCTTTGCAATAACTCCTCTCTCTCCAAGGGATAGAAGCCAGTACTCTCAGATTTGAAAATTATATAGATGCTGTCCACACTGGCCAATATTTAGGATGAATATTAAATATATACACATACTAAAATGTTTATCAATAAGCCACATATATTAAGTGGGAAGATACACTAGATGGAAGTCATGTAATTAAGTTGCAAGGTTATTAATTTGAGATTTGACAATGTTCTGTCATATTGTAAGGACACATTTGTCTTGATGGAGCTCAATATCCAGAATTACATAGTTGGTTCTGAAAGGGACTGATGAGAACTGGAAAGTCAGTGGGCACAAGGGCAGCACCATCCCACTCTTTTCACGGCTTTATAGTTTCTTTCTGTGCATTTCTTTGTTTTCTCTGCAGACTGGCAGACTTATTGCTGTTTACATTTGGGATAGATATGTCTGCTTCAGATCTAGCTCCTTGTTTCAGGAATCCCAGAGAGACTCCATTATCTATCTAATTGTCAATTATATCCAAAATTTTTTAAAAAGTCATGAAGTTAGGAATCTTATAGCTAAGATAACTACAGCTTTATTTCAGATTAGTTGCTTTCCTCAAATTGTCTTACCAAGTAAGAGCTGAACAAACTGCCGTTGTTGATACTGTGTATAAATGGATTGTGATCACATTGTGTGTTAGAAAGTGCTGTTAAGCCTTTAGTCTTCATAGACTGCGTCAGGAACATAGAGAAACAAACTGCTGTTTCTGTTGGCAATGTTGCTTTTGTTCCACTTCTTATTGCAGCTTATATAATACAGCAACAGAGCTGTCAACATACAGACTATATCTAATTATACATTCCTCATTAGCAGTAATAAAGAAGAAGTCTTTTTGTGGGAATCAGGAAAAAAGTTTTAAAAATCCATTTAAAAAATACTAAGGTCAGATTATAACATTTAAGAGGCTTAATCTTACTTGTTTTACAGGCTTTTAGAAAGCATTGTAGAAATTGTGACTTTCAAATTTTCATTACCTCACGTGTTGCTGCCCATGTGAAATGGTACAGCCACTCTGGGAATTCGTTTGGTAGTTTCTTAAAAAGTTAAATATACTTCAAACACATGACCCAGCAATTGCACCCCTGGGCCTTTATCCTCGGAAAATAGAAACTTATGTTCATACAAAGACCTGTATGTGAATGTTCCTAGCGGCTTTGTTTATAATAGCCAAAACTCAGAGACAACCCAACGCGTCCTTCGGTGGGTAAATGGTCAAATAAAATGTGGTATAGCCATATAATGGAACACTACTCATAACAAAAAGGAGCAAACTATTGACACAAGCAACAATTTGGATAGAGCTTAAGGGCATAGTACTGAGTGAAAAAAGCCAACCTCAAAAGGTTGTGTGATTAGAGTTCCATTATATAGTATTCTCAAAATGATAAAATTATAGAAATGGAGAAGAGATCAGTTTTGCTATGGTGAGGGCTGGGGGTATGGTGTGACTATAGAGGGGGAGCATGAGGGAGTTTCTTTGGGGTGATTGAACAGTTGTATGTCCTGTTTATTGTGACAGTTATAAGAATCTTTATAGGTGATGGAATGTCACAGGACCGTACACGTGTGTGTACGTGCACTCACACACACACACACACACACAGTGTAAAAACTAAAATTTGAGTAAGTACTTTTATTACTAACACTATC